GAAGGAATAGAAGTGTCAGCTCAGGGCAGCCCAGACGGGTCAGCCGCAGGGGGAACAGGCGGCAGCTTTAGCACTTTTCTGCACAATTTTGTACGACACGGCTGATGGGGACGATGGCAGGAATAGAAGGCTCTCACCTCCAACAGCCACCTCAGGACGACAAATAGGGCAACAAGGAGACCCACCCCTCCTGGGGGGGCTGAAGAGGAATTTTTAAGCCAGTAAAAAACCCCAGGATTTTATAGAGAAGCAATATGAAACATCACATTTGCTCTCGTACGTGCTGCTTGTTTCCTCAGCCACCAGCCCAACGGCAAAGCTGATTTACACCAACCTGGCGCTGCAGCGAAGCATCTCAGCTGATCCATAAACCTTGCATTTAACTAAAAATCCCCAACACACCACACTTCTCTTCCAGCACACCCCATCCTCTCGCTGGTGCACATCACACAAGCCGCTGCGTTACAAAATCATCCGTCATTTTAAAAAAGCCCTAACCAAGCGTGGCTACAGGCTGCGGGAGACAGCAATCACTGCATCTCATACCCAAGCCTTCCAAAAACTTTCCACTGGTTAGGTGGAGCAGGTCTGGCTCCCCCAGCTCCCCCTCCTCACCACCATCTCCCACGTGTCCCCTCCCTGGGAGTTCAGGATTTGCCACGTCCATTTACGGGCCCAGCACCAAGGCAGGAATAGATCTAAAAGCAGGACCGGTGTCTTTGAAGCGGAGCATCTCTCTCATTTACCCCCTAAACACTTTACAACCACTGATTTTAATATTCCAATCATGCACGTCCAGGCTGCACCTCTGAGGTAGGGGGGATTTTTTTTTTCATTCTTCCTTATTTAAACATTCTTTATTCAAGCTTTCATCATTTGCCAGTTAAGTCAACTAATTTTCTACTAAACCCAATTTCACTCATGGTTGGAGTGACTTTCCCTGATTTTTCCTCGTGCCATGTACTATTAATGGCGCTTGAAATTACGCAAATAAAATTGACGAGCACAAATGCCGCCTTCTCAGCCAGCGCAGCCAGGAGATTTGTTTTTGAAAACTACTCGATCCTGGCTGCTGGAGAAACCTCCCTCCCAGACCAGCCAGGGATGGCCGTCGGATCGTGCCCAGGCTCAGCAACTCCGGAGCCCTGGCAGGTGACCTGGTGGCTTGTCCCATCCCGACATCCTGGGTTAGTGCCTCGGCTCAGCCCTCGCTCCTCTTTGGGAGGGAGCAACCCAAGCGACTTCAATCCAAGCGGATGCAAGCGCCGAGCTCGCCTCTCCACCAGCTGCCTCCGCCAGCTGTGCCTACTCCAGAATAAATCGACAGCAGCTTCTTGTCCTCCTATTTTCCCCTTATAGGTACTTTAATCAGCCAGGGGACGCGTTCCCTTCCCCAGCGCGGTGCAGGCTCTCTGAAATCAGATGACTGCGGGGTTATCTTTACATCCCATTGACCTATTTTCAACTTAACCCAATCTTTCCTTCCACATTATCACTCCTGGGGCTGAGAAGTTCAGCACTAAATGGATCTCGTGGGCATCTGCTGGCAGGCTGGGCCAATATCCTGTATTATATTTAATTGCATCTTCTCTGCCCACATCTGCTGTCCTCAGCAAGGCAGGGGACATGGAGGAGGGCTTCTGTCCCTTCTGCTCCCTCTGCTTCTCCCTGTCTACAAGGGCCCAGCAAGCACAGGGCCATCATCTGGGGGATGGAACGTGCCGGAGCCAAGCCCCAGCGGCTCCTGGGGGTCCGTGACAAGCCCATCATGAGCCATTTAAAGTGAAAATTGGGAGATTAACATCCCACTGCCTGGTCTCTGCTCCCAGCTCTTCCTCCTGCTAGAAGGGACACAAGGACCTCAAAAACAAGGTTTTCTGAAGCAATTACAGGATGCTTTTTAAGGCACCCGCAATGGTTTTACTTTTGCAACGTGCATCTGGACTGTTTCTCCAGCCCATCATCAATTAGGTGGGACACAGCCCTCCCCAGCTGGGGGGTGAGGTTCAGCAATCAATTTATTTTTTTCCCCAGGTTCAACAAAACACTCTTTTCCCATCATAGCAGGATGCAGCACTTGCTGGAAACCTTTGCAGCACATCCCCAGAAGACAGCTAACACTGAGATTTTGCTGCCCGCCTCTGTCTTTGCGAGGGTTTGCTGCGGCTGAGTACCCACAATCAGAGGCATCATCTCCAGCTCCCACCGAGCCCTGTAACCAACGTCCAGCCGTTCCGAAGCACACAGCATCCCGCACACAACCATGTCCCAGCGTGACCATCAAAGCCTGGCCAGAAAAAAACAACCCAGTAGCCCTGACATCTTCTGGAAACATGTGCTCTCAAGTAACAGGAACATCTGATGCTGCACTAAAGGCTGAGGTTTCCTCCCCGCCAATGCTGAGCTGGTAAATCCCACGGCCATGCCACACAGCTCCATCAGGACGGCACGCGACCGGTCACTTTGGCTCTTTTCACCGGCAATTCCTGGCCCGCCCGCACAGCGTCAGGACTGGATTTGCCAACTGGCGAGGGAAGGTGAAGCCTGGAGCCTGGGCATCGTGGGAGTTTTCACCTGAACAGATGCAAAACAGAAAGATGGCTTTTATCTGCCAGAAAACAATTAGAAATGCCTTTGTCTGGACATCATGTTTCCATTTGAATGGCCCCTTTTTGCAGCCTGAATACACCTCGGTGACTATGGGAAGCGCAGGGAAATAGCAGCTATAATGAAGCGTGTGCCAGGCAATGAGAGGAGAGCGGTGGCAGCGGCAGCTGAGCCTTGTCCCACAAAGCCAGCCCCGCTGCAGCCCATCCACACCGTCCTGGCACCCGGGAGCAGCTCAGCACCCAAACCACATGCTGACCGCTGCTACTGCTCAGCAGGGAAAGGGCTGCCAGCGCACGTGCTTAAAATTCAGTGCCTTGCCAGAGCCGGTATTAGAAGTCCAGAACTTGACACTGGAGCAATTAAGCTCCGAGAACACTTTGTAAAGCCCTGAACCCACGAGGCATCAAATCCTGTTTTCTTCGACTTTCTGTCCTGCCTTATGAGCAGTTAATTTCAAGGGGGCCATTGCAAAAAGCACCTTTCAGCATCGCCGAGATCAATAGTCCCTGCCGCTCCAGCAGCTCGCGGCCCTGGCTCCCTGAGCATCTTCCTCAGCCCCGCCAAAGCAGCTGCAGATGCCACACCATTCCTGTGACCTTAGGACAGGGGCAGGAGCTGGAGGTCCCCACAGCACCTACTGTGCCCCTTCTGCTGGGGGGAAAAGCTGAGTGCATCCCCCCCCCACCTGCCCCTGCTCGGCTCATTGCAATTTCTGCACGGGCGCAGCCATCGCTCCGAAAGCTCTCCGTGTCATTTTCCAACATCTACTTCGAAGCTGCCTCATTAGAAACCCAGCTCAGGTCTTTCAGGCCCTTCCCACTCCTCCTCTACCAAGGAACACACACACCAGCCTCAATCCCCACTTCTCTGAACACACATTTTGGCCACGAAAGCAGCACAAGGAGCCTTCAGTAAGAACAAAGTGTTTGCATTCAGATTTGGGATCTTTCCTCCCTTCCCTCCTTCAAGACAGGGGATGGAAAGCTGCTCCCGACTCCCTGCTCCAGCTCGATGCTTTGCTCCCCTGCCCTTCCCGGGGAGCTGCCTGTGCCCAGCGATGCTTTGCAGCCGCCACCAGATAACCCGGTGTTTCACCCCTTGGCCATCACTCCCATCAAAAGCAGCTCACAAATTCACCGGGAAATGCAAGAAAGGACAATCACCTGCACTCAGTTCAACTACAGGAGAAAAACCAGCCTCTGGTGGGACACAGCAGCGGAATTCATGGGTCTGTAAGGTCTGCAGCGGGCTTTTGCCTAGAGAAGCCAGCCCTGGAAAAGCTCAGCCGCGCCGATCCCAGACCTCAGGGACATTGGGACAGTGCCCAGCCAAGCTGTGGGGCAGGGCTGCAGAGCTGCAGAGCTCCCTGGCTTCACTCCAGATTAACACCGGTCGCCCAAACTGGGGGAAGAACTGTTTAATACCCCGGCTACTCCCCGCTTGGCATCTGCTGCTGTCCCCATGGGAGCATCCCATCACAGAGAGATGCCCAGCACACTCGGTCACACTCCTGACCTGGTTTCATCCCCAGTCCTCCATCATCAGTTTTTTGGACCAGGGACTTACTTTTCCTCCTTGTTTGCCTGACCCCCAGCATTTCAGACCCACTCCTGACCCCCACCTCCTGGGTGCTGCTGCATTGCAATCAATACAGATGCTAATAACCAGCAGCTCTCAGATAACTACCGGCTGAAGTGCACGCAGGCAAACCTTCCAGTGATCCCTTGCCAATGATCAATACGCATAGAAAAATCAGCTCAGAAATTTGAAGAGACAAAAAACAAGCCAGGAGAGAGGTTATTACATGCTGAATAATTTATGGGCGCCAGCCTTTGCTCCGTGAAGGCTGTGCTGAGCAGGAGCAGCTTCAGCTCCGAGCCGTGAAAGGAGCAGGGAGTGCCAAAGAAAAATAAACAAGAAGTGGACTCAGCATTTCACGGTGCTGGAGCAAAATATCCTCAAACCCAGCCTGAAGCTGGTGCCTGCCCTGCTGCAAGCTCAGCAAGAGACACTCGGGATGGGAGAGGACAAATTCAGCTCCAGTCTGCAGCGGAGCAGAGCTTTGCTGCTCCAGGAGGTTGCACAGGGCAGGAGGGATGAGAAATGAGAGTCCTTGGGCTGAGCCTCCCATGGCGACACAGCTTTAGCTTTGCCCCATCCCTGCACACCAGCTCCAGTCCCCAGCGTATCCCCCCGCTCTCTGCGCACCAACGCTGGGGCTACAGGACAGCTCCCCTCCAGGCTTTAGCAAAGAACACCAGATTAACTATTAGCACAACTCGGGATTAATTACACGTGTTCTGCTCAGCCTCCCGCTTGCTCGTGGTCGGTCGAGGGTTTATCTCACCACCGCTAACGTCGTACTGGCCCAAGGGCAGGGATGATGCGGAGAGGTCTGCAGGCACCGAGCAGGATTGCTGGCACCGCTGGGTCCTCCCCTTGGGGAGACCCCTGCTCCTCCTCCGACACCCCGTTAACCCATCTCTGAGGGGCTGCAGGAGGGTCCCAGTGGACGCTGGGCTCGCTCTCCGAAGGACAGAGAGGACCTGGCTGCAGCCCCAGGTCCTGCTTCCGCTCGCCCCAGCCCCTCAGCGTGGAGGTGGACCCACAACGTGGGGGTCCAGCACTTCAAATGTCATCAAAACCAGGCAAGGGACACGCGTGTGGGGAGGGGGGGTGGTTTCTGCCACTGGGACAGAGAGAAGGGCAAGCTCGCTCGCTCCCCGTCGCAGCTACGGTGGGGAAGAGACGGAGCTGCCGTTCCCAGGCATCCCAGGGGACACATCCAAACCACGTCAGGAGAGGAGGTCTCCACCTACACCAAGCTCCTACGCTTCTGAGAAAGGCCAAACACTACGGGCAGCACCGCAGCTCTCTCCAGAGTCACTCGCGAAGGGAAATGGATGCTGCAAACCCCCGTACGACTCCGCCAGCTCCTTCCCTTCGTTAAGCGACCACCATGAGGCTCTTCATTAAAAAACACAAACAAGAAGCACACAACAACACAACCCTCCCAGCCATTAAATTCTTTCATCCCTGAGTACACAGATATTATTTAGCACGTCAATTTAGCTCAGCACGCCATGCAGAGATCACCGTGATGCATGCCCGCCTCTTTGAGAAGCTGCTGCCTTTTGCATTAGGACCAGGATTATTTTTTTGAGTTAATTAGTCAGGAGCTAATTCCGTTCATTAATTCTGAATGCTGCAGGGGCTGGGTTGGGATTTTTTGTTGTTGTTTTGTTTTTTTCTGGATTGTTGGGTTTTTTCACTCCCTTTTCAGCATGGCTCATTATGCAGCCGATGCTGGCTTAGCATCACCCAAAACCTGCCCAGTCCCTGATCCGGCTTCAGGCTTTTCTCAATTTATAACCCATTCGAATTTGCATTTTCCCTGGCACTTGCCCTCCACTCGAGATGCAGGAGGTGAGGAAACCTTGGGAGGTTACAGGCAGCACCAGCATCAGCCCAGTAATAACAGAACTGCATCCGCAGAGAGGAACGTGGCACATGGTTGTCTTCTCGCTCTTACTTTTTCCACCTCTTGCTCCCTCTTGGGGACAGCGTGCTGTCTAGAGACACTTGTAGGGTGGCCCAGCCCAGCTGCTTGCACACTCTCACCCTGCATTGCCCATATCCCAGGGCAGAAAAAGCCCATTCCCAGCAGGAGAGCCCCAGCAGCAGCGAATCCCCCCCTCCCCGGGTCCCCAAGCCATCACCAGCCCTGTCTGAGGGGGGGACTCCCTGGGGCTGCCACCCCCCTGCCAGGGATGCAGCTTATTTTCAGCAGCTGCCCCAGCTGCCTGCCTCGTGGCAGAGCAGGAAAGGAGGGAAGGAGGGAAGGAAGGAAGGAAGGGAGAACAGTCACTGCTCAGACAAGCCGGTGAAGCCGGGGGGGCTGAGCGCAGCCGTGCGCAGCGGGGAGAGCCAGCGACCTGCAGGACACCTGCATCCTGCAGCCACATGGTCACCAGCCCGGCAGAGAGCATCCCTGGGGAACAGGGGGGTAAAAGGGAGCCTTTCGCACACCCAGCTCCAGGCAGGCGTCAGGGGACACCAGTGACCGGGGACTAATGCTGCTCAGATCCAGCACCAGAGCCCTGCCCCAAACATCTCCACACCAGCCCCGTGCAAAGCCCCAAAGCCTTACTTTGCACGAGTCCTTCCTGCTCTCCTGGGCTGCGGAAGCAACGGGATCAATCCCAGCCGTGATGCTGGTGGTCTGCACCCACCCAACACTTGCACCAGCACAGCACCAGCGCTGCCCGAGATGCAGGTGGGGAAAAACCCGCCCCTGAGCCTTCGCAGACCTTGTGCTTGCACACAAAACCTTGATGCAACCCTCACATGTGTGGGGGACGGACCCTCCTGGGGGGGGACCGTGCATCCACAGCACCCACCTCTGCAGCTCCTTCAGCGAGACTGTGACCCTCAGGCTGTGTCCCAGGAGGAAGAGGGCAGCCAGGATGTCAGCCCACTGCACCACCTCGCCCAGCGGCCCCCCCTTCAGCACCCGCGGGCTGAAAACATCCCCTGACTCCTCCGTCAGGAAGCCGATATGGATCAAGATCTGGAGAGACAAGGAGAGGGGTCAGCGCTGGGGGAAAAGGACAAGGTGGGTTTTTCCAGCCCAAAGTGACTTCTGGTCCCTGATTCCCCGCAGCTCTTTTTGCAGGCTGTAATCACTCGGGGAAACCAGTCGGGTGTAGAGACAAGTGATCTGTGTCCAATTAGCAAAGACCCAACAGTCAGAGGCTACTGGCTCCCCACAGCTGGCCGTCTGTGTCTT